GTCTGGGTTTAGCCGGACTTGCACTGACCGGACAGCAGTTAGATAAGCCTAGAAGGGTAGATTTTAGTTATCTCCCCCCCCCCCAGCAGGGCTTACATTTGTGAATTGATGTTGGTTCATGAAAAACAATTTCATTCAGGCATTAAAAAGAGATTATAGTAGTAGTTGAGGTAGGACAAAATGGTTACTTTTATGCCAATAGTGATCATGCCATTCATTTGTCGGGAGCCAATATGTCGGGAGTCATTTTGTCAAAAGCCAATATGTCGGGAGCCCAATTGCCGGGAGCCAATATGTCGGGAGCCCATTTGTCGGTAGCCAATATGTCGTGAGCCCATTTGCCGGGAGCCCATTTGTCTTGAGCCCATTTGTCGGTAGCCAATATGTCATGAGCCCATTTGTCGGGAGACTTTTTGTTGTAGGCCCTTATGTCAGGAGCCAATATGTCGGAAGCCACTTTGTCGGGAGCCAGTATGTCCTGAGCCTATTTGTCGGGAGCCTAAATGTCGGGAGCTCATTTGTCGGGAGCCTATATGTCGCGAGCCAATATAACGGGAGCCAATTTGACGGGAGCCAATAAGTCGGGGCCTTTTTGACGGGGCTATTTTGACTGGGTCGTTTTTGTCGGGGGTCGATTTGACGGGGCCGTTTTAACGGGGCCGATTTGTCCCGGGCCGTTTTGACAGGGCACCCTTCCGACTACATTGCTTCAAAGAACTGTGCAAAGACATTATTATTATAATACATCACGAGGTTCTGCTTTTCTACAATATAGTACGCTGGCTGTCAAACGAAATGTTGTGAATCGTGTTTTTGAATTGAAATCTGAAATCAAGTTGTTCTTGGAAGTGCAAAGGAAACAAGACCTTTTGATATACTTAAAACGACATAGTGGTTAGAGAGAGTATCATACCTAGCAGATATATTCGAACATCAACATAAGCTTAACCTGAAGCTTCAGGGAAAATGAACGAATATTATCTCTTTCCGTGATAATCTCGGGGCATTTTTATCAAAGTTGCAAAATTGGCGAAGAAAAATAATCTTGGAAATATTGAAAATTTGAGAAACTGCAGTGTGGTAGATGAATTTGATTGTGGGATAATTAAAATTTTGAAAGAAGCGATTTCAAGGCCTTGAATCTCTTGAAAACGAACTGCGGCGCTATTTCTCCATTCTCTACTCCAGGGGTTCCCAACCCTGTGCCCGCGGGGGCCATGGCGCCCGCTGAACGATTCGTATGTGCCCGCCAAATAAATGTTATGGAAATAGCCGCATGTATTGCAGATTTTGTCCAAGGTAAGACAGAAGAACTAGAGTTAGAAACTTTGGACCTTAAGAATGATATTTTGCTCAAATCCTTAATGTTAGAGGACTTTTGGAATACAGTGGTAGAGAAAAGTTCCCATTGTTGAAAAAGCGGCATATAAAATTGAATCATTTTTCGGTTCGACATATTTATGCGAATCATTGTTTTCAAACATGAACTTAATAAAATCAAGATATAGATCTCGACTCACCGATTAGCATCGTTATGATTGTCTGCTAACAGGATTATCATCATACGCTCGTAATTATGAAGCTCTGGCCAATGAAATGCAATGCCAAAGATTACATTGACTTTATTATATTTTTTAAATTAAATGTTTGTATTTATGTGTTTTGTTTACTTTCTTTGCGTTTTGTAAATACATTTCTCTGTGTGTATTTTGAAAAAAATGCCAAATAATTTCATTATTTTGAAACATTTTTGTTTATTATTTATTAATACATTATGACTATAAGAAATTAAGAAAATAAGAAAATAAATTATGGCAAAAAGGACAAGTTATGGAAGGTGTTTGTCGATTAAAAATAGGTGGTGCCCCCCACCCTACCGATATTTTTGAATGTGCTCTAGAGTAAAAAAAGGTTGGGAACCCCTGCTCTACTCCATTATTTACCCATTCTCTGCTTCCCTTGATGTTGCCAGAATTTCCGATGAATTAAAAGATGAATTATTTGATTTGCAGAATGATTCCGCGAAAGATGAAAAACTGCACACACATTTTTGGTGTAGTATTTACCATTCATACCCAACGTAAAATTGATTGTAATTTCGAGAATAGATTTTCAACAAAATTAAGAAATATATTGAATGTTGATAATGACATACGTTGGCGTTAACAAAAACTTAACCGCAAATGTTTAGATAACAGCATGCAATGCAGTTTTACTCATCCAATTAAAACAGTTATCAAGAGTAATTCATATTGAAAGTCTACTAGAAAATCTTATTTTAGTGATTAACTTCCTTATTGATTTCGGCTTTTTAATTATATGGAGGTCGCCACTCGAAAATGTGTGGGAATCACTGCTCTAGAGTCCAGATCGTTGCACTAACATGAGCTACTGGCATGAACACCATGATGTAAGGGAGTAAAGGCGTGTCACCAAGGGCAAGAGTCGCAGCCCTAAGTGTGAACAAAAGTTCTGTAAATAGTTTTTGAATAAAATATTCGGGGAACTTCAAAGAATAGCAAGCATTACACTGATACCCCTGCCTTACCTTCACTAGTTGACATGATTTCAATCTTTAGTCAAATAGCACTATTGACTAGTTTGCAAATACAGCAGTCTACTACACAACATACATTGTCAAATTATAGGGCAATTTAATTAGAACAACGATATATTTCACAATCTTTTGTCAACTTACACAATAGTAATACATTTTGTTATAAAGTGTCTCAACCAATGTAAAAAAAATTATTTAGTATTTTAAGAAGTTTATTTTTCTATAAACTAAAAAAAAAGCATGTTAATCAATTTGTGGGATTAAGACAACGTGACGTAACACTGTCTCTACCCCCCCCCCCCTCCCCACAAAAGTCTGAACCCCCTCCCCTCCTAGGTGTGTGACGTCATTTCTGGACGACCCCTCTATGCCAATAATGATTTTCTATACTAAACTATTTCAGGCCTTAATTATTTTATATAAATCTTTCTTCGTTTAGTTACGGAATTGGCTAATTTGGAATATAATTTAATTTGAAATAATATGGCCTATTTGCGTAACTGAAGTTTCTTACTTTGCAGTATATTATAGTTCTAATTCTATACTAATTTGTAAGTGCACACATAGCTAAGATGATAATGTAATCGTTACCCAAGAGGGTGGTACGGATTCGAGACACATCACGATAGTAAAAAAAAAAAATTAAGATGTGAAAAAATAAAATTGCCTTTCGGAACTTGGCGGGACACAGGGCTGGTGAAGTAGAGTTCACCTGTTTCTATGTACTCAGCATAAGGATAGTGTGGTCAGAACCATGCTCTGCCAAAAAAAAATTTAAAACGGTAAAAACATGTCTTAGACTAGGCGTGACACTGGGCCGGTGAAGTAGTTGGGTAGGTGTTCACCTGTGACATCAGCATACGAAGGGATAGTGTGGTCAGACCCATGCTCAGCTGAAATCAGTGTTTTAAAAGACAAAACATGTGAGTTGGTGGGACACTGTGCAGGTGAAGTAGAGTTGACCTGTTTTTGTGACCTCAGCATATATAGGTGTTTTAAAAGACAAAACCTTCTGGGGTGTGACGTCTTTTTGAATGTGGGGGTCTGGTTTCTTTGTGACAATAAGTGAGAGATGTGATGTTATTTTTGGATGACCCCCAAAATCCAAAGGATGACGGGTAGTCTAGTATGTTATACAATTCAGCTTTGGGGAATAATCACCATGCTTTAGTTGAACATCTGAATTAGCAACCTTTCAATATACACACAAATAAATATTCATAATAACAATATTCATGAAATAAAAGACAGCTAATCAAAGACATTGTAATAATAAAATACTTAAAAAATTTTTAAAAAAAAACCACGTTTTTCTTGTGGACTAAAAAGTAGAAAATAAATTTTCATACATTTGATGACAAAAAACGTGGGTACGTTCACCATCAAAGTTCCCGACCCATCTGCCCGACCCACGTTTTTTGTCATCAAATGTATGAAAATTTATTTTCTACTTTTTAGTCCACAAGAAAAACGTGTTTTTTTTAAAAGTTTTTTTTAAGTATTTTATTTTCTCCTTTTTAGTCCGTTGCTACACATGAAAAAACGTGGTTTTTAAAAAAGTTTTTTATATAGTTTATTTTCTACTTTATCTAATGACTTCATTAAGTATGACTTGACTAAGTGTTTATAAATACACGGACTAAAAATCTTGAGCGACCAGGATTCGAACCTGGGTTGTCGCGGCCACAACGCGAAGTACTAACCACTATACGATCACGGCCAGCGCGCTCACATCGATTGGGGCCGAAGTAACTGTGTCAATAGGCCTCCAGTCTTGTCGGTATCTTTAGAAATCATGTCCTCAATTTTATGGTCCTTGGGGCGTAATTAAATTAAGCTAATTACGGTCTCTAATTGCTAGTTTTTATGATTGCATCTGAAATTGTTAGGCGAAAGTAGCCTACATGCCAAATTTCAGATCTCTAGAGCAATCAGAAGTGGGCTAATTTTCGATGTCAATTTTAACAACAAACATCCAAACAAACAAACGCGAAGCTGAGTTAAGAAAAACGTGTTAATATAAATGCTTCTGATAATGATAGATTTTCTAGATGTCAGTCTAAGAAACAATCAGTAGTTTTTATTTTTCAAGAGATAATTAATGAGTTGTTACAGATTGATGTAAACCATTAAAACGTAGGCATACAGGTACTAGCAACTTGTAAAATGTAAATAGACCTGAAAAATAAAATCAGGAAACTATCACAATTTACAGTAAAAATATGTTTACATAGACAGTGTTACTCTCTGTACTCAATATCAATAAGACATGATAAGATAATATGCATTCTACAAATAAATGTTTTATCTTTGGTATACCAATAACAGTTAAGAAATTTGGAATATGTGGGCACTAAATTATTATCTCTGCATATCTTGATAAGGTATAATAAAATAATCTGATATTGAATCAAACAAAATTAAAAAACGATAAAAAGTGAAATCTTCTAGGATAAATTTATTTAATATGTTAATACAATTACAATGATTGCACTCAGCTTATAATGAAAAATGTTACTGCTAGATCACTTTTAAATTTTAATACACATATAGACTTGAAACTATTGTATGTAAATCTATAAAAAAAATATGAATAGGACAAAATTTTAAGTAAAATTGTAGCATATAAATGAAATTATGAGTCCAAATAAATTTAGAAGTAATATGTTATCCTTTACTTTAATTAGCCCTTAATATATTTATCATGTTTTCCCTATGAGTAGCTAAAATTAGAGGAACCACGGGAGCATATAAAATTGTCATTCTATCTGCCTGCTTGAGAGTCTTGCTCTTTTAAAAAGCCATTTTAAAGTTTCTAATACAAAGAAATCAAAGCATTTTTAAAAAGTATAGGTATTCTTACAAAAAAAAGGCAAAGAGTGTAGTGAAAATCTAAGTAGAACACTGTAAAACGTGAACAATAGCAAATATTTAACTTTTAGAGGCGTCTAGGGGGAGGCTTTTTACTTTGGCAATTCACAAAGTAGCTTTTTTTTTAATAAAAATAACGTTTTTACGAACTGAAAAAAAATATAGGATGTATAAATGTAGGCCAAGACATCATTGCTGTTTATTTAGTTGTGTAGTAAATACCCCAGCCGCCTTTTCTTATTAAGTCAAGGGAAACAACTCAATAAAAATGAATAATTAAAAAGTGTAAATAGTACTAGTAATAGATTAACTGGGATTAGGGGGTGTGTAAATATTTACAGGGATTTGACTTTTTGTGACAAATGGAGGTTGATGTAAAAAATAAATGACAAAACTTTGTCAGCTCCTGAGCTGAATAGTAAAGTAAATTAATACAATAAATAATAATGCATGATAGAATAGAGAGAAAATATTATTAAATAATGTACCAGCCTCTTTACTGTAGGCTCAATGCTTTATGATTAACAAGTACTGTCAAACTGATTAGGATATTGGATTGTAAACATAACTACAATCACTTCAATAAGTTATTTTGTTTAAGCATTTGATGATACATAAGAAATGTCTTTGTTTATAGTTTTTATAGTTATCAAATTGTACGATCAGACACCCAAAGCTTAACACAAATTGCTATGATGTTCTTACTTATCCTTACAATACTTACGTTAACCATTTACATGTAGGTTATAAGGATATTTATCAGAGAAATTTTAGAATCTACAACTAAATTCATTGCATTTCAAAATAATCATGATCACATCAATTTTGCTAACCCCAAAAATTTCTGAGTTCACCCCCCCCCCCTCCACTTGGCAGATGAGGCTTGTTAGATGGGGACAGTAGCCCATTTAGGCAAGAAACCTTCTAATTAAACAGCTGCTGCCTTTCAGAATGTTCTTGGGTGGACAAAGGCTACAGAAACAAATATCAAGAGAGAAAAGCAGGGGCTGAAGTCAACAGCTGTATGATGTGATGCATAACATGTTGACATGTAATACTTAATTTTGATGGAGAACATCCCTTTAACTTTAAAATTACAATTAAAAACAAATAAGTCAAAGACCTTTTTGATTAGGCTAGAAAGATCTACTGGCACCGGTAAATCAGCATTTGTATTTGGTGGTAAACCCCCAAGACATGCACAGCTGCAATAACTTTAAAACTTACCCAACCACATAAATACGAATAAGGCAAATATGGTATCAAGGGTAAATTATCAAAGAATGTAAAAGTAAGTGATCAAGCAGGCACTAAAAGTAAAAAAAAGTTTTTAAAAAAGGAAAACATTTATAAAATAAATTTTAATTACAGAATAGGTTGGCTTTAAAAACACAATTATAACATTTTTAGTTATTGCATTATTAAAAAAGGAGTTCATTTAACTTTTTAAAAAATGATGTTTTTAAATTTTAAGTATTTAATTCTGTGGCAGTAAATACATTTTTAAAATTTGTGTGAGCTATATAAAATCTGCTGATAAACAGTAATTAAGACTAATTGGTTAGTGCATTTTTTACTTTTCTTAATGAAAAATTTCTGAATAGTAGTTAAGCCTAGCAATATTTAGTTTCAAGTATATTAAAGGCACAAGATACGAGGCTGCTGCTCCAGAAATAAAGTAAGAGATGTATTTGTAAGGCAGTTCTATGGCAAAATAGTGCTTGGTTACAGGATTTTTTGGGTCAAATCCAAAGTACCAAGACAAGCTATTTAATAAGAAGAGCTTAATAATGGTCAAAAACAATATTATAATTATAACACCAACTAACTGCCGAATGGCAACTAAAACAATTTGGCCAAGAAGTGATTGTGCATATGGTGAGAAATGAGGCAGTTCTGTGAACTCAGTTAAATGAACAGTTAACCACAGACCAGCATAGATCCCAGAGAAAACACCCAGAACTAGAACAGTATCACCACGAGCTGTGTTCCATCTTTCTTGTGATGGATATAACAGACATAGTACAATGCAAATTAAAACTACAATTGGTAAAGAAAAGGAATAAGTTAAAATAAACTTGTCCACTATTTCAACAAAAGGAACTGTCAGTAGCATCAGTAAAAAGGCAAACAAAAGGCCAGCGATAACATCCTGAAAATAAATGTACAAGAGATCAAGTAGTATCAGCTCTTATATAATTACATCATGATGACAATGACAAAGTACATTTTAATAAGTGACAACATTTTAATAACCTTAATTTTAGCAATTTTAAAATGATTTGGTTAATTTTATGAAAAATAATATCAAGTAGAAAATTGGTACTTACTAGGACACTATGCATTCCTAGATAAAGCCGACTGATGCTGACTAGTACACACCATAAAACAGAAACCAATACACCTATTAAATAGTAGAACTGTGGATAAAAAAGAATGATAACTGCTATTGAGAAATAATAATAAAAGTCATAATAAAAACTTTTCACGAAAATCAATAACTGATAATTGATGCAACATCATATTCATAATTATAGAAAATAGAATTATGAAACTAAAACTCAAACCATGAGGGGACAGCGTAGCCTAGCAGTTGAGCACTAAACTGCTGAACCAAAAGCCTCGAGTATGAATCCGGGCTAAAGTGTGCAGAATGTCCCAAAGTCCACTCAGCTTGGATGGGTACATAACTTAGGATAGGGAAAATAAAGGCGGCTAGGCATAGTGCTGACCACACTTTTCCTTTCATATGCTGAAGTCAAAGAAACAGGTGGGCTCTACTTCACTTCCATGGACCATCACATTTGACAAGGGAACTTTACTTTTACATTCAAAACATGTTCCATTACTGAGACACCAAACAGAATCAGACAAATTGCTGTTACAATCAAACCCTGAAGAGATTTTACATTAAGGACATTCTATTTTATAAGTTGAGTTTTATATGCCTATAGGCTATATGAAGTAAAACTTACATTGGGTGCTTATACCATTTCAGGGAGAGAAAATGCGTATTTCATCTCAACTACTGTGTTCTATATTAGTTGTTAAGGAGTAATCTACAAATAACGTAGCAGTTAAGACCTAAAGGTGGTGGGTCAGAATTTTTTTTATTAGAGGGTAGAGCTTATGGAAGTGAGGCAGCATTTTTCTTTGGGTCTTTTTCTTATGACATGTGACAATTAGGATGGAGTTAATGTTAAAAACCACTGGATAAAGTGTGTGGTGTTGTTAACTTTAAAAATCATGATGTTGCATGTTACTGTACCTCATATCTTCCAGACATGAATATAAGCATGCTAAATGGAATTGCTACTCCAACCATTGCATGGGTAGATGGCATGCCAAATTCTAACTCATAGCGGTCTTCAAGACGAATAACTGGTGGTGACTTGGGACGTGGCCATCTAATGATATCTTTTGCAGCTTGTCCAGCATACATGATGACAGCCCAAACTATCAATACTCTTCTTATAACATAGTTATCAAAATTCCATAGAGTAAAAGAAAAAAATAAAACATAAAAAGTTTCATTTCCTAAACTGGCACCAAATGAAAACAGATAGTACAAAAATGGATATTTGATAATATACATTGATGATTCTTTTATTCTTCCATTATTATGATTTCCAATTGGGCCATCTGGAGAATATACATTCATTTTTTTATAATACTTGTAATCATTGCTTAAATTATCTTGAATGTTATTTATCCCAGAAGCAAATTGGTTAACCATATCCTTTTCTGATCCATTTTTTAAGCAGAACTTATTAGATATAGATCTAGATGAAATCTTGTTAGAGGATACCATGCCATTCATGCCAGGATGAGATGGGTGAACTTTTTCGGTTTCCATACCTCTGAATGTTTCAGAAGTGGTTGAACTTGTTAAATTACTGACTTTGTCATCAACATTATTATAGGGATTTTGGTAAAAAAGCACTAATCATCATATAAAAATAAAAATTACATATTCTTGTAGAGCTCAACAAAATGAAAACAAAACAAAAAAGATTTTTTGTCTAGCTCAAATAGTTTTTTTTTTGCGAATTTTTTTGTGAGGGGTGGAATCCCCTTACTTTTGCATTGGCCAATTGTGACAAGTCATGGTATACCTGAATAAATTGAGCATAGTTATTTTAATTGCAGTTGTATTTTGTTCATATTTTCAGAGTTTAGCTAGAATGATATATAGAACTTGTAAATGTTGTTGAAATGAATAAAAATAATACAGAACTTATATTTTTGTGTTGGCTTCCTCCCATAACCCCAAAAAACTGTGTGCTGCGCAAATATGAAAATGTTTCTAAAGCCATATTTTATATAAATACAGCAAATGAAAGAACTACAAAGTTTGAAATCTAAAGTAAATGACTTGAACACTGTTATGTGCATATAATATTATAATTGCCTCATTATTTTGGGCAGGTGAAGTAGAGTCCATCTTTAAGCCATTTTGTTATAAAACTGCTGCGCAAATATGAAAATGTTTCTAAAGCAATATTTTATATAAATACAGTGAATGTAAGAACTACATAGTTAGAAATCTAAATGACTTGAACACTGTAATGTGTATATAACTGCCTTGTTATTTTGGGCAGGTGAAGTAGAGCCCATATAAGCCATTTTGTAATAATTTAAATGAAGTTATCAGATCAATGTTTTTATGTGTGAATTGTGTATGGATTCTGATTTTCAGCATATAACTATATCTAAGGGTAAGTAGAACTTGAATACTTAAAATTACAGTTAGCACAATGCTAGTGTATAGCAACAGACAGGTAACCTAGATCTAGGTCTGACTCTTGTCAGTCTAGGACTCTAGTCTGACAAAATTGGATTTTAGGAAAAACATTCTGCAAAACTAGAACTAGAGCTGAAAAAATTAAAGATGGGTATGTAAATATATTCTGAAATAAAAAATTAGGAGATTTGTTTGCACATTCCATAAGAATGCTGTTGTTAGTTGATCAAACTTAAAGGCCGGAAGATCGGGATGAAAAAATATAACAATGGTGGCAACGCGACCTACATACAGTGACCACCTCTAAACGAGTATATCTAATGTCAGAGTCAAAATATCCAAAAACAAATATCATTTCCACATATATAAGATATGTCTGCTCAGTAATCTTCACTCATCTAGAATAACCTTTTAAAAAATCGTGATTCCAACGTATTTGAAACTAGCCTTCATACAGGGGGAAGACCAAGGCAGAGACAGCGTGCAATCAGATCGCTAAGCCATCAAAACAATGGGAAAACCATTCTACTTTTCATTTAACATTAGGAAATGACCTTTTAAACTTAATTAATTACCATAAATTAAAAACTTATTAGTATGCAAAACCAAATCTCGTGCGCCCGGTATCAGAAAGTAATGGGCGATTTCGGGTCATGTTTTTACCGCGATCTCGGCCGATACCGACAACCCTAATTATTAGCTCCAGTAGATCTAGAAGTAGCACTATTACCAGTTTTTCTTTTTGTGCCAAGACATGAATTACTACTTCCATTTACGAAATTTGCAGCTACATCCACACCATTAGAAACAGATGTAGATCTAGATTTATTTGATAGATTAACAGTATCATCATTTCTAGATTCACTATGTTCAGAAGCATTTATTTCTTTTATTCCACATATGCATTGAAATTGTGCTGTTATGCCAGGTTCACTTAAAAATTGAATAAACTTTTCTATTTGATTTGACATTGTTAACAAACAAATGAATTCACCTGAAAATCGAATTAATCTAGATTTAAGTTTATAGTAGATCTAGAATCTAGAGGAATCTAGATATTATAATTTTATAATTATAGGCATATAGATCTAGATCTATAGACAAGCGTCTAGAATCTAGATAGAGGTCTAGATCTATGGAGCCGGCAATTCCAAAAATAAAATTATCGAATTTCCAGTGAGTTGCCTTTCTTTATAAATAAATTAACTCATGAGATTCTAGACCTAGAATCCTCTAGTAGATCTCCATAATATAGAATAATAGATCTAATCTAGATATAGACTCCTTGATTGGAGACATTGACTCTAGAAATCTAGATCTAGATCTAGAATCTAATTCTGAACATACATCCAGATTCTAATCTAGAAGTCTAGATCCGGCTAAACGAACTTTGAGACGCGACTGGTTTTACTAAGAAACAAAAACTAGCATAAAAATTCCACCAACTGTAACCGAGATGTTCCACAGCAGTAGCTAGATCTAATGTTTAAACTAGGTTTTACATCTAGATATAATTGGTGATAGATATTTCATTGGCTATTACAATCTTAAAAAATAGAAATTTTATACATAAGCCTTTAATATACGAATGCGGCAAAATAAATGTTAAGTGTACGCAGAGGCGTAGCGAGGGGGGGGGGGGGGCGGAATGACAACATTTAGGGCTTAGGGGGTGACACCAAAGCAAAAAAATGGCAAACTATTATACAGAAAAATGATAATTTCACTTAATTGAATGATTAATTAGAGTAAATTAAATAGTCTTTTAAGAGCAAAGTGGACAAATCATGTAACATCCAGCGCTGAATTTATAACCGAATAAAGATACAAATCGTTATTATTATCTGAGCACAGTTTAAAGCTATGGGGTCGTCCATAAATGACGTCACACTCGTAGGGGGGAGGGGGGTCCGTAATTTTGTGACGGTGTGTGATGAGGGGGGGGGGGCTTAGATGATGCGATGTCACACTTTTGCATTATAAAAAAGCAATTAGGAAACGAATTTTAGACGTTATTTCGCGTTTTAGAAAACTGTTTTAACTAGGGGTAGTTACGATCAATGGGTTAGGGCTATAATAGAGGCGGGATTCCTAGCACACCCGGTGGGTTTGAACTACAGCAGCTCTTACATCACTATGGGTGTGGCGAAACCATTTATTGAACCGGTCAGCTGAATGGCGACCCACCGGTCAAGCTGATCGCGAGACGGCCCTAAACAGCCATCCTTGTGATCAATAGCGGAAACGTTGGCCAGGTAACAAAGGGGCTTAACCGCCCAGATCACTTATTGGATCTGACACTGATGATCGCCAACAAAGAAGCCTGAGCTGACCAAAGTTTGACCACGGGGGGAGAACGGGATCATAGACGGGCGGTACGTAATGACAGACTTGCTCTTTGACACCTAGGACATGACGGGTAGCCTATGTAAACGGACCCAACGAAATCCGACTGGACGTTACGACCAGATAGTACACGAGAGACGACAGAGTAGACTGGTTCTGGTACAAAGTAAATCCAGACCAAGTTAAGAAATCAGTACGGACGAGTTTATGGTGACCAGACTTAGGGGTGAGTAAGATTGTGCGTAGCTGTCATTGTTAGTGGATACGTTGTGAATGTAGTATATGAATTGTGAATGTAGTACATTGTTAGTTGATACGTTGTGAATGTACGATGGTATGTTAATATGGTATTGTAGTGTAAGAATAGCTTGTGATGATTAACCTTTTTTGTGTCGATTTATTTACAGACTGTGGAGGTCTGTTGGTTTTTTTTTTTTTTAGTTTTTGGCTTTTCGTTGTAAATAAAACCATCGAACCTACCATTGTGTAGAAGAAAGCGTGTTGCTGTATTTTTTCCATTGGTTACACACACACACACACACATATATATATATATATATATATATATATATATATATATATATATATATATATATATATATTCCATTAGGTAGTCCAAACTGGCGAAAACGTGCGTTTTAGGATCAGTTTTTTGCGGTTTTCAAAAAAAAAATTTCACTATATATACCCCTGTGATTTTGAATATTTTTTTTCGCAGAAACCTCCCCAGGAATATTCTCAACAACTTCCCAAAGTTTCAGGGCGATGTGATAAGAGGTGTGGTAATGCATAAAAGACACACAGACACACAGACACTTAGACACACACACATACATTGCTTTATATATATATATACTAGCGTACCCGACCCCCGCGCGTTGCCGCGGGGATAGAAGAAAGTTTGACGAAATATATTAGGATTTCACCAACGCGTTATCAATTATAATTATATGTTCTTAGACGCGCGACCTACTTTTCTAAAACCTTGAGTGTACATTAATCACTCACCGAAATAATATGGTAGAACACACTTCGGTGAGCGCCTCTGTGTCAGAGCGTAGAGGGGCGCTCTCAGGCCCCCCCCCCCCCCCGATTACACTACCGCATAGGCGCGGCGTACTACCCCTGGCTCCTTAAAACTAACAGGCGCCATCGGCCAAATAGCATCCTGTTAATAACGATGCAGATTTCGTCATTCGCTACAGTGACACAAATGATCAGGATTTTTTTCTTTAACACGTAAAAAAAAATTATTTGACGTGTTTTAAATATCAGTGTGACTGATGCAATATGCTAGCGTTACTAATGGTCTATTATTAGATGCTCAATTTCAATTTCTGACTGGATTGTCTAATAGTGGATGCTTATTGCATCATTCGCAAAGTGACGAAACTCTACAGTAGGCTCCTCATATTTAAAAAGGTATTTTTTCATCTTTCGCAAGGTGACGAAACTGTACAGAAGGATTTCCTCGCGTTACAAAGTTATTTTTAGAAGCCTGTTGTAGTTTTACCGCTGAATATAGTAGTACCCCTTACTCGCTATGCAGGACGCTCGATTAACGGATGCCAAGTGCCAACATAGTCGCTCTAAAACTCTGGGCGCCAAACCGTGTATTGACGAAAGTTGTACCCTGTATGGCGCCGCCCATAAAAAACTTTAGTTTTTCTTTTTTGCAGAAATATTCTCGGGAGTATTCTCATCTACTCCCTAAAGTTTCATAGCACTCGGATGAACCGCATCCGAGTTTTATTTTTTACATACCGTGTATAGAGAAAAAAAAATCGCTCCCCCCCCCCGGAGGGCGCAAATTAAAAATGATTTTTTACAGAACCCTTCCCTAGAGTTTTATGATGAACTCCCCAAAGTTTCATGCCTATCGGATGAACGGTGTCACTGCAATTCACTTTTATTATTTTTATATACCGTATATTGAGAAAAATCGGACCCTCCCGTGGCGCCGCCTCTGCGAAATTAAAAATTATTTTTTTTTTACAGAACCCTTCCCTAGAGTGGTATAATAAACTCCCCAAAGTCTCATGGCTATCGGATAAACGATGCCAAACCAAAATCGACTTTTATTTTTATATACCGTATATAGAAAAAAACAAATCGCGCCCTTTCGGGGCGCCACCCCTGCGAATTTGAAATTTTTTTTTCCGCAGAAACCTTCCCAGGAATATTCTCAACAACTTCCCAAAGATTCACGGCGATGTGATGAGAGGTGTAGTAATGCATAAAGGACAGACACACACACAAACATTGCTTTATATATATATATATATATATATATATATATATATATATATATATATATATATATATATATATATATGTGTGTGTCGGCCTACATACGTCTATAATTTAAACATGCCACATACGGGTATTTGTATAAGCTTTAATCACTGTAAACTTAATAATAACGATGTTTATATATAGTCTGTTAATAATTAATACAGTTGGATGTAGCATTGTTTCTTTTATAGTTAGCAAGTTTACGTCATATTGTTACTCCCACCCCCTTGCAATAATTGACGATTTTTACTTAAAAGACTATTTAACTTTAATTTATCACTAAGGCTAAAGGATTTGGTAAAAAGGAATTTTTCTTCTGTACATTTAGCATTTTTTTGCCTTGGTGTCACCCGGCGTGGTCCGCACCCCCCAGCTGTTACCTCTCTGACACCAGTTCGAAAATTCAGCGAGGGTTGCGTTCTTGTATTTTCAGTGTTCTATTAGTATCTTTAAGTTTTGCAGGTGCTAGACTAGAATAGCTCAATTTGGCATTGCCAAACATGCAGATGGGAATATTTCACATATTCGTCCAACCACTAGAACTTGAGTGAAAATTTATTTTAATAGTCGAAAATTGTTGTAGGGGGAGCGGCTGCTACCCCCTCCCTGTATACTCTACTAGTTACATATCTCATTATCTGGTTACAACTTGTATACATCTGTCTTTTCATACATCTCCTAAGAGTTTATATAATAAATTTACTTTCAAAGTTAATTACAAAAATTTCAGATAATTTCAGAAAAATTTAGATTAAAATAAAAGACTTCATAAGTATTTGTCATGGAATGTTTATTTAAACAAGCATACATCACCACCCCACGTAGAGCAAGCAACTACAGATGGTAAAACAGGATGACACATGACATCAAGAATCACTTCATCATGATGGCTCAATTGAGATATAATTCTGCCATTGTGTTGATTATAACAATAGACTCCACCTTGTGAGCTTCCACTGTAGACTAGACTACCATCAGGACTTATGTCAAATCCAATATTGTATCCATCAACCTAGTTTTAAATAAAAGACAAGTATTTCAGATTCTGCAATCAAAGCGACCGTAAAAAAAACAACAACAAAAACAAGCAACACTTAAGGCTGAAATGTGAAAATAATTCAGAAATATAATATTTTTAAAATCAATTTTATAAAAATTGCAAATCCAGATAACCTAAAACTATTTTTTATTTTTGAGTCTAAAGACTACATTGCTATTTATGTTCTTGAAGCCTAGGTTATAACCTGAAGTTTCACTTTCATAAGACAGACATTAATTGGCTCTACAGGAACTCAGTGATCAAAATTCTGAAGACTACACTTAAAAAAAAAACCTTATGATAGTTAGTAATTTGTACTCAAACTTTGCGGATACAATTTTAAATAAATTATTTTCTTTAAACCACATGACCTAGTATGGCCATTTTCGTTTTCAGTTTCTGTGATACATTGTAGATCTCAACAATCAAATGGTTTTTGGCTTTTTTTTTAAAAATATTTTGTTAAGTTACCGAAAATACTAAAAACAATTACAAATATTTGTGAAGTCCAACAAAAAATCAGATATTTATAACCAAATTTATTCTATTAACAACGTACGGTATTTTAAAAATTTAATGGGCCTTTCAAAAATAATGTTGAGACTTTTAACGGTTAAGTTCAGGTCGAACGCTTAGAAAAGATACCGTCAATGGGGCAACCGACAGAGAGGACGATCCAAGCAATCAGTGCATTGCAGTGTGATGGATGAAGCTGAATTGATTTGCAGGAGGCCGTTGAAATCGGAAAGATTTAACAGACCCCCTAAGTTTGGCATTAGCAAGGAACCTAATGAGAAAATGTGATTTATTTTCGTTTTAAACGAAGAACGGTTGAAAATAAACGTTCGAGGAGACATGAAGATGCAAACAAAATAAAAACTTAAAAGGCAAGCATTATTACAAATATGAATATGTAAGCTCAAATATTATATATACCACACTATTTTTTAATGAAATTAGTTCGGGAAAGAAATCATGGAGTTTGTTTTGAGTGATTTGAAAAGCCAAGTAATCTTTTTAAGTTTCTCAAACAAGGTAATGATTCTAAGAGGCCAGTTCTGCATCTTGGATAAATGTGCTCCCACCCCACCTCCCCTTTTCCGATACAATTTATTCCTTTACTGAAGTTTCAGCTTAAGCCTTTATTTTGATGCTCTAATATATCATATATATATATATATATATATATATATATATATATATATATATATATAATATATATATTTATATATATATATATATATATATATATATATATATATATATATATATATATATATATATATATATATATATATCAGATATACATATCAGATATATATATCAGATATATATATATATATATATATATATATCAGATATATATATATCAGATATATATATATATATATATTCCATTATATATATATATATATATATCTGATATATATATATATATCAGATATACATATATATATCAGATATATATATCAGATATATATATCAGATATATATATATATATATATATATATATATATATATATATATATATATATATATATATCAGATATATATATATCAGATATATATATATCAGATATATATATCAGATATATATATCAGATATATATATATATATATATATATATATATATATATATATATATATATATATATATATATATATATATATATATATATATATATATATATATATATATATATATATATATATATATCTGATATATATATATATATCAGATATATATATATCAGATATATATATATATATATATATATATATATATATATATATATATATATATATATATATATATATATATATATATATATATATATATATATATATATATTCCATTAGGTAGTCCAGACTGGCGAAAACGTGCGTTTTAGGGTCAGTTTTTTTGCGGTTTTCAAAAAAAAAAATTTCACTACTTCTACTTGTCCTATAATAATAAAAATTATATGTCAATAAAGTTTAAGTCTTTATCCGTCGTAATCTGGTATTTTTATATCTGTAACACATGTTTGAATGTGTTTTATATTTGTTTGAAAAGTATCAGTAACGTCAACAAATTTCACCGTTTTGCGAGTACCGATCGACCCCACACTGTTTTATTTGGTTGCGGCTTCGCGACGAAGCATCGTATTAATGTCCCGTAACGCCCGCTGCCGCCCGACATCGTTAATGTCCCGTAACGCCCGCTGCCGCCCGCTTACAATACGCATAGAAAAATTAAATTTGTTTCATTAAAATTTGGCCTACAAATCCTAATTTTTAACTAAACAGGAAGTCGGATAGTTGCAGCATCCTTTTCCGGTCTTCTAATTTCAATGGCGCTTTTGAAAGATAAAAAATAATAGTTTCTTTCTATCTCGAAATTTTAGATTCATCTGTCCTATTTTTAGTAGATTTAATATTAAAAATAAAATAAAATAATGCCTCTAAACGTATCTAGGCATGTATTTTATGAATTATATATCTTAAACGTAACCAAATTGATATTTAACTGTTAAATTCGATGCATAGTTGTTTAGACAAAAATAAATAAAGTTGACTACCAAAAATGACCTGTTTTGAATTTTCTCCGACATTTTTATTTTTATACTGTACTTTTACCGAATATAATATATTCTATTTAATACTGTTGGAAAGCCAGGTTTATTCCCAACACTAAGCAGTACTTTTTATCTTAATTTTCAATTTCATTTAGACAAAAACAAATATTTTGTGAAACTATTCACTTGATCATACAGAGTTATGCTCTTTACATTGCTCTTTACATTGGGCCGTCATGGGTGGAGTTTTGGTAGAATGAATGTCATTTTAAAGGGCGAATTCGATATAAAGTTCACTCTTATAACTACTTTGTGTTGTAAATTCAAGTATTTCTGATTTACGGTCGCGAAGCCGTGCCCTCAATAAACATATAACCCTCGAGTCAATTTTCAGCCCCGAGTGAGTAGCTCGACGAACGGTTTTAAAGGTTGACGACCGATGATGCTAAACGGATTTTACCCTTGCTAGAGCCTTCAAACAAGTTGTAAGTATCATTTTTAAAGTTTCATTTCCATTTTAATAAATGAATTTTAGTTTGAATGTCAGTTTGGTTTAATTAGTACACGTTATTGATGTAAATTTGAACGCTACTAGTCCACGGTTTTAGCGTGTGAACTACGCTTGTACACAGGGTGTTTAGACGTGAAGCTATTTAATTCAGGACATTCTAGGGACTTAAAATATGGATGCACTTAACTATTAGATGCTAGTGTTTACTAATTCTTTAAAATCTATCTAATGGGATTAATGATAGGGTCGTATTACTACAGTTTATCTGGACTATCACGTCAAAATTATGAATCGACAAATTCAAAATGGCCACCAGACAATACTGGTTACTATGTGGACGAACTCAATTATTTACAGGGAACGAAGGTTAAATACTTATAAAATATTAATGAAACACAAAAGAAATTTATAATTATAATAACTCTACATTTTTATTAATTTATTTAAAACAAAAGACACTATTTTTTAAGGACTAATGTGATTAATTTTTTATTTTCTGTTGTGCACTCTGATTCTGATTCCCCTGCTGAATAATGTGAAATGGTCTGCGCCAGTCTCCTTAATAAAATGTACCAGATCAATTTTTAGATGGTAATTTATTTAGATTGTACATGTTGTGACTTAGTTTTAAATGTTATATTAGTTGTAAGTGTAGTGTAAGTAGTACTAGTAGTATTTCTCATTATTTATTTATTTTATATGCATATAGTAGTAACAATGAAGGACAGTTAAGTTGTCCTATAGGATGTTGAGAACCACAGTATGGCACCTTCATCGTTGGATATCTCAACCATTGTGGTACAAGCAACGAATATTTCATTCAATAGAATTAATATTAAAAATATACTATCAAGTATAATTACTTTTAACAAAAAGGTGTTTTCAGGCTTTTTCATGTTTCCAGCTAGTCATAGGACAAATAGGCTAGTAGTAAATTTAAATATATTTTATTAATCACTAAATAAATTATTTATTCCATAGCTGGAGACATTTATGGTGGCCTATCAAGAACTTTCCTTACAAGGGAAGGGAAGAAGGCCAAGCCCCCCCCCCCCCCCTTACAGTTCCCAAAACTTATCGCTTACTCTTGATGCTCTACAAGATCAAGGTTGAGGGAAACAAGGCGTACAAAGATGTGGAGTTGTCGTTTTAAAAACTATTCCCCCAAAGCAGTTATCAACCCGATAGGTTTGAATGTAGCATCAACTGCTGCATCACTTGTAGACATCACGTCTTTATTAGATTACATTACATTACTACATTAAATTTTGATTCTGTTGCTCCAGAACTAGATAACTGTGGCATTTTTAAAAATAATATTTTAATTCATGTGATTTTTGACAATAATGAACACATTCTTCCTGTTAATATTACCAACACGATTGTTTTAGAGTTATTCTATGTCCAAAGCAAAAAAAAAAGGATTTTTTTTTTTTTGGTATGAAAATAAAAGTGACCAAAACGCATTTTTGTCATTTTCAATTATTTTCTTACCTTAGAAAGACTCATTTTAGATGACTGAAAAAAATTGGGCATATATATTGCAAACTTTGCAGTAACTTTACCAATTTCTACACTTCTATGTTATTTAGTTTAGAAAATATGGGTTCTCAAAAATGGCACTTTTTAAAAATCAGTTTTTTACCAAATTTTGCTTTTTTAAAAATCGCATAACTTTTTTATTTATTGAAATATTTTCATCAAATTTGTGGCATAGAGCTTACAATTAAAAGTTCTTTCATGACATACTCACTCCAGAAGTCTGCAATCAATAGTTAATTTCAGTTTGGACTACCTAATTCCATTCCGTCAAGTTTATTTATACCAAAAGTCACACCCCCTTACACGTCCAGGAACAACTTGAATTGATATTTTGATTCATAGACAAGATAACCTTTCAAT